TGTTTGGTTTGCGCTTCGCACCTTCAGAATGCAGGGTTGCTGCAGGACTACCAGTCACTTGATAACCCCTTGATCCTTGGTAACTATGAACTCGGGGTGGTTGATCAATTGACTTACCTTAGCAGGTACATCAGTAACGATGGGCACATATAAATTAAAGTCAGTTCACGCATTACAAAAGCCAGAACTGCCTTCTTGAACCTGCGGTATCTTTGGCTACAGGAGTTTCCCTCCGTCTGAAAGGCCGTATTTACAAGGCCACCGTGATGGTCGTCTTACTCTGTACTAGTGTAGTGACCTGGAGATTGTCCTGTTTGTCCTTGAAAAATATTAAACTATAATATCATTCTGTACATAGACAACTTCGGAAGCTTGCCTGTTCCGACGATGACCACATGTATTTGAGTCACCCAGGCGAATCGCATTCGCGTGCTTCCGGTTTTTCCGCCACGGAGAGCGTTGCTGCGTATCGGCTGGTGACTAGGCCTTTCCCCTAGCTAGAACCATTTTTACTTTGCCTTCAGTTAGCGGGGTTTTACATTTCGACAATAAATGTAAATCTCGCCCTTATATTCTTTTCACGACTTATCCTTGGGGCGGGACGAACCTGACATTATAGCGACCGAACGATTCCGCTATAGGAGTGCTACGTCCTCTTTGGTCTCAGGATCTGAGGCTCCTTCAAGTCTTTAATCATTGTTGCCTGCGGAGCACTGCCGGTTTCAGGTGGCACTCGCATGTCCGCAATGATGATGTGCGTAGGCGAGTACTAGGCAGTGATAACCAAGCTAGTTCCTTAGATAACACTGAACAAGTTGCGTTTGCTTGGGAACGTAATACATATGCTTGGTCACTGCTTAACGATGGTGGCCTTGTTTTATCTGCCGGATATTGGTTGGCGCAAGACCCGAGGTGGACAAAAGATGACTTGGCAGTGGGAAATGAAGAAACTGACGTCCAAACTCGGCGGCGTTGGTCCGTCCCCCCTTCCGGGCTGGAGTCCAGCTGACTCGCCTTATGCTTCGCTCAAGACTTTTCAGGACGTGGTTCACATCCGATACCAGTGGCGCGTTTGCTGCCATCTCCTAGTCGGACTGCCTATTTAAAGTGTGTTTGGTGCTGAGTTATCTGCGGGATAACGCCTTATTATGACGCGGGGCAGTGAAAGCCGCAAGAAAGTTGTCTCGCTGATGCCGCGTTATCTTTGCACGATAGCCAGCTGTTTGTGATGGTATGTTGTCTACACAAAGTGTAGGCGCCTTAATCTTGAATGTTTGCTTAGGGCATTAAGGTTCTCAGGTAAGTCCCCCATCTCTCCCTCTTATTATTCTTTATTCCTTAGATCATCATGGTTGTATGGCAGCGAAGCCTCAGTTCAAATGGCTATTGCTGCTGTTGTTGTTGTAGTTGTTGGACTCACATGGAAGGACGTTCTGGTGGTGGGAGTTGACTACAGATTGAGGAGCAGAGCCGTCATTATCATCTAGGGCATGCAAATAGATGTTGTTAACGAGGAACTTGGTTGTTGTTCGGAACAAACAGTTGGGGGGACAGCAACCGTTAGATGAGATTATAAGAAGGGATGGAAGGCTCTAGTGACATGGGTATAAACTGCTTCGATTTGTACGCACGTTTGATGTGTCCAGTTTTTGCACAGGCTTTGCAAATCGTTTCTATCGCCGGGCACTTCTCACGAAGGTGTTTGGGATGACCACATAAACAACTCGTTTCTGTAGGTACGGTTTCGGTTTCAGATGAGTGAGTGGACGGAGAAGGTGTACGTTGTGAGAGGGGCATGATATTAGCTGAAAGATGGAGTTTCTCGCTTTCTTAAGACCTTGACTGTTTTGCGGTACTCTCAAGGGACCTGGCTATATCAAAAGCAGTTTGAGAATTTAAAACCCTCCGTTCCAGGAGTCTCGTCTGAGTGTTGTTTGACTGTAGTCCAGTTACAAAGGCATGGCATCATCACGATGTTCTTCGGCTGACGTTGACGAAAATCAGTCCGCCGACAATTTGATTTTTAACACGAGCTGATGGAGACTGTGTGTGCCGAATTCAAACCTCAGTTCTATAGACCACCCATGGACCGTCTCAAAAGCTACGCATCCATTTTGATGGCTTAGCATAGACTTCAAAGGATCGTTACCGATAATCACTCGAAATCGATATTTGCTATCATCGATGAACACTCCAGGTTCCCATTTGCAATCGTATGCCCATATATGCTTGCTTCTACTGTCATAAATTGTCTTTGTTCGCTGTCTTTTGGCATGCCCTCTTACATACACTCCGATCGTGGGTCTTCGTTTGTGTCATCGGAGTAAGTTCACTTCCTACGGAATAAAGGAGTGGCAACTAGCCACACGACTGCCTACGATTCACAAACCAACGATCAAGTGGAACGTCTGAATGATACACTCTGGAAGACTATTCCACTGGTTCTGAAAACCAGAAACCTCCCTACCTTGCAGTGGGAATCTGTCCTCCTGAATGCGCTGCATTCAATTCGCTGCCTCCTATGTACCGCCACGAACGACTTTCTTGCCTCGCGCCACGGTCAGCTAATGGATCTTCCATGCCATCCTGACTGATGGTTTCTGGCCGTTTGCTCAGACGAATGGACCTGTCTTCGGAGTACGAGCCCCTGGTGGAAGAAGTCAACGTAATCAGTTGTAACCCTCAGTACGCTCGTGTGAAATCACCTGATGATAGAGAACGTTTCCATTAACCGCCTAGCCTTTCAATGCGACTCTTGTATCATCGTCCGACCAGCAGATTCGACCAAACGCAACATGCGGATTTGCTAATGCCAACACAAGAACTCCCTGGAGATGTTTGCATAGAAGACTACCTATTCTCCTTTACTCCCTACTTTAACACCGGATACTGTCTCTGATATCCTGGAGTCAGCAGAGGATGGTTCCATGCCATTTGCGAAGAAGAGACGTTTAAGATCTTCGGAATTTTATAACCCTTTCTTGCCTCACGATTACTGCGTTCAACCTCTGCTTGAATAGCACTTCCATATTTCAACCGGGGTGAATGTCACGTTAACGCGCTTTTAATCACTGACCTAGTTGTTTCCTAACGCAGCATAACCTGCTCTTTTACATTTCAGCTCACGTATTTCCGGTGTTAGACTAGTAAAGTGTATTCCTTTGTCTCTGAGTTCTCACGTTTGTTGTACTATCTTCGTTAGACACATCACCCACACTCTGGCTTGCGTGTTGTTAGGTATCCAGCGAAAATCATATTCTTGGGGCGCACATTCAACGATTGAAGAATTGTAACTGCGCTTTTGAGTGTTATGCATTCATAAACATGTTTTTGGTCCAAACAGGGAAGAAATTTCAGCAGCATATCCAGTTTGTCCAACTCATCAGATTGAACTCATTTTTGAAAGGCTTTGAGTGTTCAACAGCAATAGATCCATTGCTTAGCAGCATCAAATGCTTTTAGATCGGTATCGAGTTTGTCTGGACGAAGATAGCGATCCATCGAAATGTTAGACTAGTTGATTGATACGTTGAACGTTGGTACAACAAACTTGATAACTCGGAGGCTTTGGAACACGTTTTACTGGCCTACTAACGGAAGTACATGAGTTGAAATGTATAAGGGCAGGTCATGATGCGTTAGGCAAAATCTAGCTGCATGATTGGAAAAGGGTTAATACGACGTGGTCGATGCGCAGACTGAGGAATGTTTTAGGCGATTTTTGGATTCTCACTTGATGAGTAAGCTAGGACCTTGCTTCTTCCAATGTAGCTGTTACAGCCCCTTTTGGAATACCATCTCGTATCGACTCACGGCATCCACGCAATGATCGGAAATTGAAGGAGCTGACAAAGGACTTTCCTTCTGCTCTCTACAATCCAGTGATCCAGTGAAAACCTCTGATGAAATCATGGACTTTGATGTGTTTTGTTGTGTTTTCTTTTACTATTTCTGTACCTTCTTTTGAATCCAATGATTTCTAATGGCTCTATGTCTATTCGTAGACTGTTGCATATATATATATATATATATATATATATATATATATATATATATATATATATATATATCAAATGCCCCCGTGTGGCTGCGCTTGATGTGCATGTTGATAAGGTGCCTACCTGTCTATTACTCGCTACGTCGTCCATACTGGCCCTAGGGGACAGCTGGTCGTTGCTGGAGGGGACGGGGTGCACGGTTCTTGTGGCCGTGTTTGGATCTAAGAGTGGTTCCATGCACTTAGTGTGGAGCGGACTACGGTCCAGCCACCGCCTTGTGTGCACTTGATTCCCAAATACAGCGTGCTTGTGTTTGCCTGTGAGGAAGTGTGGGCCGGCTCCGTTGATGCAACGTGGCTCCCATCCACATGCCTCCCGGTCTCATTCCTTCGGGTTTACACTGGATATGGGGTGTGTGGTTGAAACTGTGGATGGGGCAGCGCAAGTCACCCATTGTCCCTCTGTAGGCTCAGGCATCCTGTGGCTGGCCACAGTGACAGGCAAATTCGGAACCGGATGCCGCCAACCATACATATATATATATATATATATATATATATATATATATATATATATATATATATATATACATAATGACAACCAACACAGCCTCTATTCCAGAAATAGTGAATAAAGACAAGAAGAAGTCATCTGCGACAAACTCATTCAGAGCTTTAAATGGAAGTAGGCAAAAAGTATCCCTGTTTCGCACTACTTGTCTTCATGACCACGTATGTCGTTTTCTGTATGCACTTTTGGGAGGTTGCGATATATTGATTTAAGAATAGAACTTAACTTTTTCTCCATGCTCTTCTGAGATAAGTTTAACATCAAATAAACACAATGGGCTGCATCAGAGCGGGTTTTGAAATCCAGGCTGATTGGTCGTTTACAAGTGGCTAATCATAAGTGTTCGATCTGTACACATACGAAACGTAAACCACCAGTTTTCATCTGTTAAACCAAATTTGACACATACTCTACTCCTCGGACTTCTTTTTTCAGGTTGTCACTTTTCTGTGACTGATGCTGACTATCTTCTAACTTGAGCCTCTTTTCTCATACCCATAAACGATCTCTGGCTTCCAACACTTCTACGTTTTATTGTGAACCTCTGCTTCTGCACTTGGACAGGAACACTGGTAATATTGTTAACTTATTCCAGCTATTGTTTCTCGTCAGAATATAGCTATATGCAACTTTTACTGTGCACGTGCATGAAGTCTGTGTTAGTGTATACACTGAAATCGGTCTAAAAACCCGTGATCTAGCACCGATCTTCTTCCCGACTTCTAACATATTCACCTTCAGTTCAACCAGACGATGTGTTGTACGGGCAATTCCGTCCCGGTTGGGTACAAGTGGCTGCGACGTTTCGTTTTCCGGAACCATTATACCAGGTGAGATTGCTGACTTTTCTCCCAAAGCGCTGTTACCGCTAGAAGCTCGCTTTACATTTTGTTTCTCACTTTTCTATGCTATTCACTCTACCATGCGTCGAGGAAACCGATCAGCGTGGTCAAAGGTGTACTACACAATTCGATGTTTCCAATTTCACCTAACAATCCTACTTTGGTCCAAGGGTGGATCCCTTTCGGTATGTTTTAACCATCATTCCTCATATAGATAGATCAAGAAAATTGGAGCCAATTGGTTGGTGAGCTGGAGTATGCTTACCTGTTCACTTACGCCTTGGCCATGATTGGCAGGTACTGATATTCGCTGGAATAAACTTCGTTGTTCTCTTCTTAGTGGCTACGTTGCCGAACGTATGAATATTCGCTACTTCCTCACACTCGGGATGTTTTTGAGTGGCATATGTAATATAGCTTTCGGTGCTGCTCAGTATTTTGAGATTCATCAATATCATTACTTTTTGTTTATCCAGGTAAGTTGGAATTGTGTTCTAACCCATTGGTAAGTTACTTTCAGGCGTTGTCCAAGCAACGGGATGGCCAGCTGTTGTTACACTAATGGGCAATTGGTGGGGCAAAAAGAGGTAGGCACCTTTGCTTGCTTATTTTGATACGATTTATTTTGTCCTATGCTAAGGGGTCAGTTTTAATCGCTAGCTCCCATTTTTATTGATTGAACGAACAAACTTTCGTAGTAAACGCGGTTCTGCACCCCCTTGTATGCTTAGTAGTACCAAGAACCAAGAGTTGATCCTCAAACGCTATTATCTCTACGTGAGAGTAATGCGTTCAGACGAGAGCGACCACTAGCTTCAGAGAACACAAATCTATCACGTATCTGCTATCTCACCCAAGCCCATTATACCAAATTTTGCAGATATCGTTGAATCAAACTTCAACCCTAATCATGCACCTACAAACGTCTTTCATGATTTGGTTGCCAGCAATGTTTTAACCATATATATGCGTCAATCGATCGACTGATTCGATCAGCTGATGTGTATATGTTAGCTGCTATAGGATGCTAACCTAACCTTGTGGTAGTCTCTTACATTTTGATTGAAATCTTATTCTTCAGGTTAACACTTATCAATGCGTGAAAACAGCTGCCATAACCGATAAATATGTGTCCATTATATTGCGCTGAGGCTGGTGGTGGCTAGATCCTGACAGACGGTCTGCCCACTGCTGCTACTGTTGTGCCATGGGTTCATGTCCTGGACGCCTCGTGGCGACCGCTGAGTGGGAGTTGGGTTACGCCCTTCTCCCTGTTAAAATCCAGGACACCAATCCGCATGAGTTAGTGGAATGAACATGTGCTAGACCCGCTGCATTTCGGGTCTACATTTAATCGAAGGATTTGGCTGAGGACCCGAGTCGATCTCCTGTCAGGTGTGGGCGCCCTCTCAGTATCCTAGTCCATCCTCTTCGGATGTTAGGAAGTGGTCGATAGCCCTCTCCCCGTAAAGGCTAGCCATGGGAGACAACAGGTCCACGGATTATAAGCTCACAGCTCGATTGGCGTAGAGCGCGAGCACCACTCATAGTCTCTGACGGTGGGAGGGCAGCTCAGGGTGTTCAATGATTTCATACTGCCCGCCTCAAGCCAGACTGCCCCTGGTCAAATTGGTGCACACTCACCAAAACCCACCTGCGTCTGGCCGTGGTCGCAGGTGCGTATCCTACTACGGTCGCAAAACATATATGAATCGTTCCAGTATCTCAAAGGCCGCGTGTGACGGCCGTCAAGCAGATCCCAATCAGTCTCTGCAGTGACATTTCGGAGCTGGATCTACTCGCCACTAGCTTGTGGGTCTGGCTATTGAGCCAAAGACTCCGGGAGAAGTCCCTCAAGCAAACCACCAGACCACCCACTGCCTTGTGGGTGCGTCTATTGGACCAAAGACTCCGGGCGGAGTCCCCCAGGCAAACCTCCGAAGCACGCCCATTACATCGCGTGCGGTTGCCCACCAATGCAATCGTATGCCTACGCGCAAAGCACTCAGCATCGGGTGCTGGAATGTGCACACACTACTGGACCGGAACTCTTCGTTTGAGCGCCCCGCGAGCGACGCACTGCACTGGTTGTGATGGAATCGGCGCGCTACCATATCGATATTGCGGTGCTCAGTGAAACTCGGCTCGCTGAGCGAGATAAGTTGCATGAAGCATATGTTGGCTACACATTTTACTGGGTGGGCAACGCCGCCTCAGTACCACGTGAAGATGGGGTCGAATTTGCAATACCCGATCGCCACCATGACCAGCTCGTGGGTGAAGCGACAGGCATCAGCGCGCGACTGATGACTGTTCGCCTACGACTCGGAAGAGGTAAGTTTGCCACCTTTATAACAACATACGGTCCGACCATGTGTTATCCTGATGACATGCGTGAGCAATTCTACACTCAACTACACTACGTGATACGGTCTATGTCGAGGAGCGACCGACTATTTCTGCTGGGTGATTTCAACGCGTGTGTTGGGCATGATGCATCGGGGTGGACAGATGTTATCGGTCCGCATGGGATTGGTTCAACGAATACGGAAGGTGACAGGCTGCTCTCACTATGTGCCACTCATGGCCTGACGACCACGAACACTCGATTTGCACTGAGTGCGGGTGATGTAGCAACTTGGACGCACCCACGGAGTGGTCACGCTCAACTGCTCGACTATATCATCGTACGTCAGCGTGAAATGCGTGACGTGCGCATGATACGTGTACTGCGTGGAGCTGAGTGTGGTACTGATCACAAATTGGTGGAAACCAAACCGTACATATATTTTCGTAAAACTATGTATTGCACTCCTGCCGCGAATCGGCGTAAACTTAACATTCTCTCCGTCGGTACTGTGGCAAAACGTTTTGAGCTGGAGAAGGCGATGACTGCACACCTTTGTGATGTGGACTGCATAGACACAGTGAGCGACCTGTGGCACCACATTCACCACCAGGTGACAGCTGCTGCCGAGGAGACCATCGGGCGCGCAAACTCTAAGGGGCCTGACTGGTTTGATGAGAAGAATGCGACGATTGGCGCATTGGTGTCGGAGAAGCATGCAGCATTTGCTGCACAAGTGGAAGACCCCAGTGACTTAGAGAAGAATAGTTTCGCAAACTTCGACGGCGAATGGCCCGAGAGCTCCGTCGCGTTAGAAATGCATGGTGGAGGGAGAAGGCGAGGCAGATGGAATGCTACGCCAAACGCCGCCAACACAAGAAATTCCTTGACTCCTTGAACGCGGTGTATGGACTCAGATTGGAGCCCCTGAGGACGCTGATCGATGGTAGTTCAGGCGCTACCTGCACACAAACTGCAGACATAATGCAGATCTGGCGGAAACACCTTGACTGTCTAGCACACAACCGCTCATAGAACGACTGGCCTACATTGAACGCTCTCAAGCAGCACGATGTGAAGACGAGTCTGGCGGACACACCGACACTGGATGAGACGCAGAGAGCACCGGCAAGTGTGCCGGTGCCGACGGGTTCCCAGCTCAAGTATTGAAACACGGCGCGCTGCACCATTTGGTGCAACACGCGTGGATTGAGGAGGAGGTGCTTGCTGAGCTGAAGGATGCCCTTGTGCTACCACTTTACAAGGGCAAAGGTAGCAAGCAATGTTGCACGAATTATCGTGGCATCAACTTGCTGAGTTGTGTGGATAAGGTGATTGCAGGAATGCTGCTCAACCGCCTCGTCAGTCAAGTTGTGGTACCTAACGTGGCCGAAGAGTAGTGTGGAGTCCGCACGGGCCGCAGCACTATAGATATGGTGTTTGCGGCTCGTCAGTTGCAGGAGGATTGCGCAGAATGACACCAGCCATTGTACTCCATTTTCCTTGATTTCACCAAGGTATTGTATACAGTGAACCGCGAGGCATTGTGGCTAGTGTTGGGCAAGTTTGATTTAATGCGTAAGTTTGTAAGTTTAATTGAATGTCTGCACGGTGGTATGCGAGCGAGAGTGCAGCTGAGTGGAGAGACCTCGGTTGACTTTGCAGTTGTCTCTGGTGTGAAGCAAGGCCGTGTCTTAGCTCCTGCCCTGTTTACTATATATCTTCATGCCATGATGTATTGTGCTTTTGATGCGGCTTGTGCTTACGGTGTTCGTGTGGAGCACCGTATTGGTGGTGCGTTGTTGAACATCCGGCGTTTCGGGGCGAGAACTCTAGTCTGTGAGACAACTATCCGTATGTTGCTGTTTACTGACGACTGTGCGTTGTTTGCACACTGCGCCGATGGGTTGCAATACACGACTAATGTCTGGCTTCGACAGCGGCAATATTCCGGCTCACCATCAACACAAGCAAAACTGTCTGTCTGTTTCAGCCTTCACCGGAGGTGCAATCTTCAATATTGCCGCGAACCAGCATTGGAGCTGAAGTATTGGAAACCACCTCCGCTTCTGCTACCTTGGGAGTGCGATGTCGACTGACCAGCAGCTACACAGTGAGTTGCGTATCCGCGTGTCCAAGACAGCAGCTGGATTCGTAAAGCTAGAGTACCGAGTGTGGAACAACCATCAGCTTATCATTGGCACGAAGTCGATGGTGTACTAATCCATGGTGCAGTCCATTCTTCTATACGACAGAGAAACGTGGACGACGTAACAGCAGTATGTGCGATATCTCGAACGATTCCATCAACAGTGTTTGCGACGGATTCCTGGCATCGGATGGGGCGACAGAGTTACGGACACGGAGGTGTTGAGGCAAAGTGCGATGTATGCAGTGGACTGCATACTTCTACTGAGACACCTGAGGTGACTCGGTCATGTGAGCCGCTTGTATTCGACGCGGATACCGAAACAACTCTTATATGGTCAGCTGAGTATATGGGGAAACCAAATTTACGTTACCAGGACATAACCAAAGTGAGCCTCACACGTTCTAATCTTGATTTCAGGTCATGGGAATCGAAGGCGGTTGATCGGCGTGCATAGCGCGATCTGATCAGGAAGGCAGTTGCTGAAGTGTGGGAGAAAGACTTCATGCATGAAGAGAAGAAGCGGTACGCACCGATGGGTTGTACTCCAGCAACATCAAGCGCATGGTGCTGTAGCATATGCGGTCGCTGGTGCTTGAGTCAGGCAGGCCTAGTGAGCCATGAGCGAGGCTACTCGGGATCACCACCGAAGCGACGACGGGTCCTGCAGAGAACGTAGGCAGAACCGACGCAGCGTTTGTAGGTACGCTGCATCCAATTCTCTAACCACGTGCTTGCATGCTAAGCCTATTTATTTCAGGTGGTGAGTTTGCATTTTTGTCCTAACGCTTTTCATGCACATATTTATGTCTACTTGGACTATTTTCTATAAACTTGCACACGTTACATAAGCTAATTGTAGTTAATTTGCCTATTTTCACATTTTCGCATTTGTGGTATTTCTTTAAAATATATCTTCCGACGTCTTCAACTCAGCTCGGATTCGTTCGTAACCGATTTGTTTTATACACCCATTTAGTGAAGAGCTATGCCACCGTATCTGTATGCATTACTAGATTTATTTTATTTCATCTTGTCATTCCAGGTGACTGGCTGTTGCTTGATATCCCCGGTGTGGCTGCGTTTGATGT